TTGCTGAAGGGTTTCCTTTCAGAACAGTCAAGGTTTGTCTAAATCAATTCCCTATTATGCATCAGTCACATGCATAACATTCTGATCGTAGCAGTTCACGACCCCTGCTAAACTGTCATCATCACTATCTGCAGGGATAGTTGCTGCAGCTTCTCTAGTGTACAAACGGCTGATATCGTTTCTTGGTTGCTGAAAGCTTTTGTGTTATCTGGAGAGAGTCCTTCACTTCTTCAGGAGGTCTGTGATATTCTCAAGTCATTCGCTCTCGTAATTTTAAATGCTTAGTTCGTATAACTTTCTACCTCTTTTTGTGAGTGTCTGCTCAAGTCAGGCTATTTTTTCCTTTTGTCGTCAATTATACACTTGCTCCTGTCTTTACATCCAACTCCCCCATTGCAGGTTTGCAGGCTACTCACATGCATATTCTTACTCTCAACGATAGATTCCACGGTTCAATTACCTTTGTATTCCAAGGGATCTCTCTCTTTGAATCATTGGGCTGCTTACTTTCATCAAGCTTCTGTTGGAACTCATCTCAATTGCCATTACCTTGCAAGCTTACAGGCATTGCCCAGAAAAACAGATTCGAAGGTTTGTACCACTCCGAAGTTCACAACCAGATTAACACATACTGGCATACTTCATTTGTTCTTTCATGTTTTCAGGGTCTTGTTGGAGATTTCGCAGACAAGATAGATGAGGTCCCAAAGTTTCTAAGGTTTAAAATTTTAAATAGTTAACTTGCTGATTTATTGTTTCATATGGTGTATGTACATGTATAATTAAACTACAATTTCGGTATCAGGTTTTCATCGGCAGACATGGAACATCTCGAAAAGCATGTATCAGAATTCTTCAATCAACTTCCTGATGTACCAATTGTGTGCATTAGTATGCTTGGAGGTGATTTTGTGAATGTTCTTGGGGAAGCACTTCTTCTCCCTTCCCTGTTTCCTGCTTGGATGTTGCTCTCAAGGTTTGATTCAACAAACAAGCCTACCACAATGCTTCTACCAGTGGATTCTATTTCAAAAGGTGTGTAGATTGCCTGTTGTGTTGCATAGTCTTATAAGTTAATATTGGGTCTCTTGCACTTTTTATTCACATGCTTATTGTTTGACAGAAGCACATAATGAAGACTCTTCTATCAAAGAACTGGATAATCCAACTAGAGCTTCAGATAAGAATTGGAAGTGCCCTTGGAGCTGCACTATTATAGATTACGTGGCTCCAACTTTCAGAAAGCTACTTGAGGATAACTTTAGATCCCTCTCTGGTGCAATTGATATTCCAAAGGATGGACAAGCAAATACAGTAAGGTGGTGGTCGGATAGAATGAAGCTCAACAACGACCTTAATGAGATACTGGAGTAAGATTTCTTATGTATGCTACCCGTGCAACTGTAAATATTTTAAGACGGTCTCTAGATATCTTGCTCCGTACATTATTGAAGATTTGCGTTTTCATTATAGGATTATGTTTTAAAAATCAATATTCCTTTGTTCTGATGTCTTTGCTTGCCGTTTTGAACAGAAGCATGGAAAAATTGTGGCTAGGACCCTGGAAATACCTTCTGCTGGGGCACCAATCCGCTGACCAACACAGTGAGGCAGTGCTGGAAAATCTAATCACTGGTCTAGAATCAGAATTCAAACTTGAATTAAATCCAGCGCTCATCAAGGTCATCCTTGGTGGGGTTACATCAGTGGATGAACTGAAAGAATGTGTTTGTCAGCTTGTATCATATAAAGCTTACTTTGGCAGGGGAGGGTGTTGTGGAAGAGATAGACTTAGAGCCTTCTCTTGCCAGATTGATGCTGAAGCTCTGGTGTCCCTTGAGCATTTATGCAATGGTGTAGTGAATGAGCTGGCCGAGCCAGTTGAGAGAACTCCAGTGATTTTAGTTCTGGATACTGAGGTGCAGGTGAGCAATATGATATCCTTATTATTGGCCATCTCTTCTGTTATTAAAAAGGTCCTTTTGACTCTGTTATAAGTTTTGACGGATGTTCCGCCTACTGATTAGCCACTAGAAGGGATATAAATTAAATGAAAGCTGTGTCATCATTTGCATCTACCTTGATGTGATCTAATGTAATTCATTTTTGCGGTAAATAATTAAACAATGGATGAAACAACACTGTAAGGATCTTTCATGGTAAATTTTAGTGTAGCAATATTCTTTAACCTCGAAAGGAAATGTTCTACTGCTAGCTTTCTCGTATTCTTTCTCTAGCAATATTGCCAATAGAAGCTTTTTTTGATCCCCATCATATATCTTCTTTAACCTCTTCTTAAAAATGATTGAGTGCAGATGCTTCCTTGGGAGAACTTGCCTGTGTTAAGGAATCAGGAAATGTACCGCATGCCGTCAGTGAGAAGCATCTTTCTAGCATTGACTAGAAGCACTGATCATCAGAAAGATGCCAGTGTCATAGACCCTCCTTTTCCTGTTATTGACCCTTTCAATGCATTCTATCTGTTGAATCCTGGTGGTGATTTGATCAGCACACAAGAGGAATTTGATCAGTTGTTTAGAAACTACGAGTGGAAGGTAACGATGATCTGTTAACTATTTAGAGATGATGAGAAAATGTGCTGCTTGTTTAAACAACCTTCTCAATGGTGAATATTGCAAAAGAAGAATCCTACACCTGTGTTGTATAAACAATGTAGTCTGACTTGCGAAAGTGGAACCTTTACTGTTTTCTTTAAACTCTAGAAATGGTAAATATAAATAGTTGGAAATCTGGTTTCCTGGTAGCTTTTGGTGTAGACTCTACATTTGAGTGTATTGTTAGTTTCACTAGTCAGGCATGCATCAAGTTTAGCATACTATATAAAGATGATGCAACCTGCTGAAGCGCTTTAACGTCTGTCACAAGGAAATAAGCCATGTATCCAAGAATGATGCAAGCTAGTTAAAGTATAAATTTGGATTTTTCTTAAAGCAATCACCAGCATATAATTGTGATGCATTGATGCCATGCAGGGAAATGCTGGGGATGCTCCTACAGCTGAAGAGCTTGTCTTGGCCCTGAGGAATCATGATCTTTTTCTCTACTTTGGACATGGAAGTGGTATGCACTATGGTCTATGGATATAAATATTGGTAGTTAAGTCATTTTGCTGGCTTGTATAATGTGCTTGTGTCGGAGTCATTTGAACTTCCACGGCTTCAACCTTCAACATTTGAAGCCATCAAAGTGTAGCGCATTACCATAATATCCATACTATAGGATGCAAGCTAAAAAACAGTGTCTGGTTCTTCTATGGGCATAGCTACCCGTGTTAAGTTATTTTGTACAAAATGCTCACCAAGCTTCTATTGAAAGCTTCCACAGGAACTTTAACTAGCAGTAGATGACGCATAGTTTTATAAAACTTAATACTTGTATAGTAGTATAGTGGCAGATGTATCAGTAGGAACTATTGCTTCTGATGCTAGTGCTAACAAATGCCTTCAAGTCTGGTGGTTTGATGACCACTTGTGCTATTATTGTTGAGGAATATGAACTCCCAGCACTTAGTACCGTTCAGTATTCAGATACTTTTTATAAACTGGGTACTGCTCAGGTATCAGTTGTACTAACAGAGTGTTCTAACTAGTCTGAGAAAATGTTGCAGGAAGCCAGTATGTCTCTGGAAAGGAAATTGAGAAGTTAGATAATTGTGCAGCTGCTCTCCTCATGGGTTGCAGTAGTGGGACACTTCATTGCAAAGGAGCGTATGCTCCTCAAGGGACCCCTTTGTCTTATTTATTTGCTGGTTCTCCGTCTGTCATTGCAAATCTCTGGGACGTCTCAGATAAAGATATAGATCGATTTAGTAAAGCACTGCTCAATTCATGGCTGCAAGAAAATGTCACGGCTGCCAAGAATTGCTCTAAATGTTGCCCTCTGACAAAAGAATTTGAGTCCATGACCATCGCCGCGAAGGACAATGGTAGGTCAAGACGAAAAGGCTCACGATCTAGGAAGCAACAACAGACAGTAGAGATGGGCGGCAGTAGTAGCTGCTGTAACTGCGGGCACAGGCGAATAGCTTCACATATAAGTGAAGCTAGGCGTGCTTGCAGGCTTCCTCTTATGATCGGTGCATCTCCTGTTTGTTATGGTGTGCCTACTATCATCAGGAAGAAGTAATGGACATGCAGTGTTCTAATGGGAGATCATCGAGGACTGCATGCTGTAGTTCTGGGCTTTGAGCCACTGATGCAAACCGCATCGCACCGAGGGAAGTGCCATGATAGGCATGTCATTGCACAAGCTCAAATGTTCTGGTGACATGTTTATGCTGTTGTTTGTACTTAGCAGCAGATGCAGAGCTAACTAGATAATGCTGATTGGCTGTTTTTTTACCCAAGGACCAGCCCGAAATTTCATCGATTCTGACGAGATTCAGTAGCATGTAGAGCAAATGAGTAGAATTATGCTCTGGGAAATCAGTAGCATGTAGAGCAAATGAGCCTTGATCTGTTGTTAATTTGTTATACATGTGCTTCCAAATGTAATTTTGAGCACATATGTAATCTCATGTACTGGAAATCGTAGCATGTAGAGCAACTGAACCAGCCCCAAGGCAAGTGGTAACTGTTGTTTGTATTATTTTGTACACTACAGATGTGATTCTTTCTGTTACATTATAATATAGCTGGTTTAATTGTATGTTCTCGTACCGTTGTAGCTTCCATAATATAGCTGGCAAAGTTTATCTTCAAAAGTCAAGCTTCATAAACTTTGACCAAATTTAAATCAGGTACATCATGATTCATGAGACATGTTTTTTTACAAGGATTTTGCTACAAATTGATGTCAGTTTTTTTTAGCAAGCACAAAAAATCCTTGCCATGTTCAGTTTTTTTTGCCAGGAATTGCCATGCCATGTTTAAAAATCCGACGCCAGATTTTTAGCATTTCTGTTTTATATTGTACTATTAGATATTCTTGGTCGAACTCTACAATGTCCGTACGCACAATGTTATGGAAGGAAGGGAGCACTATGCCAAAATGTGCTGTATTATGCGAGCGCAGATGTGCATTTCATCGTTCTCATGTCTGCAATTATTCATAGCTTCACCCGGCAGTGCAGTGAGTGCTGTATTTAAAACCCAACATGTCACAAATGAAATAGGTGGACAACGCAGTATCCAACACAGCAGAGCCACGCACACAACAAAGAACAGCAGCTGAAATAATTGGCCAGAAACAATTGGAAACTACACAAGCCGCACAAGATGGATGCGGCATTTTCCTTTTTCAGCAAAGAATGTGAAAATGATACATGGTTGATGGAAAGCAATGAGCTGAGGTTAAGACAAACTACTTTGGTACAATGATCATGAACAAGTAAATTTTGGTTGGAATTGATGAATGCCAGGCACCAGGGAATCAGCTGTGCATGTACTCTGGTGACAGAGCCCCTGCCTTCTCAATTAGAATCTAAAAACAGTCTTCCACGGTTCCTACGGCGTCGCCGGCGACGCCTGTCTGATCTAAGCATACCCGCGCCTCCCGCTCCGGCCAGAGCCATATCATCCTCGTCGTCGCCCTCCGAGGTGAAAGGGTATGGGGTGGTCTCGTTGGCACCACCACCGCTAACCGCATAATCTTCCTCGGCATTTCCAGGCATGCCACTTGGACTCTGGAGACTTTGCGTTCGATGTCGCTGAGCAACTTGACGCATCATGAATATTATCAACCTCCGAGCGTTATCTGCCTCCCGGTCATTGCCACGATCGTCGTCGTCGCTGTCTTCGTCCTCCAAGTCCGCTCCATCCTCCAGGTCCAACACATAGTCACCCCAAACCACTGCCCTCCCCATTGATGAAGTGACCGTGCTGAGTGCGTCTTCCCTCTCTCTTTCAAACTCGAGCGATCTCCACTTCTGTTCCACGGCAGGATCCACTTCCCTTGGCTGCACAAGAGGGTGCTCCAACTTCACATGCTTGCGGAGTTCCTTGTACGTCCCCACAAACGAGCAGCCATCCTGCATGCATGTTCTCCTTTTCCCATTCAGGTAACTTCGAGCAGGTTCTACCACAGTCCACCCCTTCACTTTGCCACGACACAATGGGCATGCGAGGTCAATGGACTCAGTCTTCTCGACTGCAGTCAATGGCACAAAGTCCAAGGTACTGCCAACAGTGCTGGCAGGCAGTTCCTCAAGCAATGCCCCCTTGGTGTATGCCTTCTTGAACTGATCGAGGCAATTTGAGTGCCGGTAGCTCGTTCCACACATGTAAGGGCGGCAGCCCTTGTCATGAGACGAACAAAGGAGAAGCACAGCATTGTGTGGGTATTCCATGCATACAGAGCAGTTGGCATCTTCCCAGTCCATCTTCTGCACAGTTGGCAGTGCTTTCTTCCGGTTGGCTCCTTTCATTGCTTTCCAGCGGTATGAAGGAATGGGATACGGCGTGGCCCTGAGACGACGAGCCGCATGCCTCTTTGCCCTTGCATTTCTTGCCATTTTCTTGGAAACCTGTCTGGAAAACCATCACTACATGAGCACCTCATAACAGTGTAACGTACAATAAACAGGAGGATCAATAGCAAATAAAGGAGGGGAGAGATCAGAACCACACCAGAAATATGAACAAACAAAAGAAAGTCCCTTCCAATTATGTTAGTATATTGACAATCAAAGTCATATGAAGGGGAAAATGAGTATGAACTCATCCAGCATATTCTCTGCCCCGAATGGTTCAACAGCATAAGCAGCAGGGCAGCAAAGGGGGCTGACAGCATGAAACACAATCAAGTAGACTGGTGATCTACAGGTGCCGATTTCATTAGGTTCTGGGAACTGGGATCATACACTTCCAAGATCATCAGGAGAAAGTTCTACCCTAGAAATAAAAATGAATATGCAAAGCCAAGCCCTGAAGATTACTTGATCTGCATCACTCATGATGAAGAACACATCATAGATCAAAGTCCACGGAGATAATGTAGAAGGTTGTGAATCGTGTCAAAAGCACACAAGTAATAAAGCTGAAGCATATTACTGGTGAAAGTGTATCAACAGATTGCCAATATACATGCAACCAAGGAGCACATCAACTTCTAGGCAAACGATCATGTTTTCATAACCAAATCGACCCCCCCGCAGAATTCGATTGAGACAAGAAAACTCTTGAGCAACGTTACCACACAATTGCAGCTTTACTCTTGCAGCGCAGGCTATCAAACTTCAGATCCACAAGAATGGCTAACAAAGCAGCACAGGCACCAGAAGTCACAAATAGACTTTCTGGGATCCAAGTACAGTTGGGAAGGCAGATAAATAAAGAAACAAGGCGCTGGCACAACCAGGAGCATTAAATAATGAAATGCATCAGATGTGATCTACATTCCCCATTAAAAAATAACACCTAAGAGCCAGATAAGACTAGCTAAAGGAAAAAAACCAGCGACTCACATGGAGCATCTCAGCTCGTCTCAGATCTGCCAGATTAGATGTGAAAAAACAAGGAACAACACATACTACTTTTTTTAATTGGAGAGAATCATTTGATACTGCACTTGGGCCAAAGATTCCATCCTTTGAGGACATGCTACGTTACCAGCACACGGAAAGAATATGAAGCAAAGGTGTCTCCTTTAAGTTTCGCTTTGCTCCTGGTCCTGCTTACACGATAAATGCAGATTGCAAGCACATGGAAGGAGGTTGGGAAATGATCTCTTTTGCCGCAACTTGGTGTCTTGGACCCAAATCCAGCATTCTCGAGCCAACATTAGCGGCAAAAGGATGCATTTATTTCCCTTCCATGTAAAAGCACCCTATCCACTCGATGGTGCAGTAGTAACTAAGCAAGATCTCTCTTCCTGCACTTCCAGGCGAAGAACTGCATGGCAGAATGCTAACAAATCCGGAGAACGGAGCCCTGTTGCTTTACTTAAGACTCCTAATTATTCACATTCCTAGAGAAATGAGCATCAACAGACTAGAGTTTTGCTCTTCCTTTCTGTTGAGTCAATCATTTCCAACAGAAAAAAGAAATCTAGACACAGCAACAATCGCAGTTGCACAACAAATTCATGGACCACGCCATTGTAGCACACAGTTCCAATCTACACTAGACGCAGAGCCAAATAGCAAGAACGAGCCTCAAAATTACTGCTTCATCGACTCACAATTGGCGGTAGAGAAGCCTCGTTTGCTGAGGTAACTCCAATTCACAGCAAAGACCCAAGAGATCGTGATCGCAAGCACCCAAATCCTCACTGCCCCTGGCGAAATTCGCACGGAGAGGACCAATTTTGGTCACCCCATGAGAGATCCCCTGCCCAGACCGCTCCCCGGCAGCCCCCGCCCGGATCACGGCCTGGGCTCCCCGGATACGGCCCCGTGCCGCCTCCTCCCCGCGGGAACCAGCCGCAGAGCACTCAAATCGCCGCCGGAACACCCGAAATTCCCCGGGAAGAGGCCGTCTCCCCGCAATTCCCAGCGCAACACGCAAGCAAAAGCACGTCCCTCACCACTCCACGCCCCAGAGGGGCAGGCCTCACCCCGTCCCTCCCAGACCAAAACCACAACCACCAAATCAAGCGAACCGAATCAGAGGCAAGGCAGGGGGGGCTGTAGTTGGATATATACCTAGGCCGCGGCGGGGTCGGCGAGGGGCGCGGGTCCGGGCGGTCCCGGCGGCGGAGTCGGGCACGGCGGGGCGACGACGGCGAGGGGCACGAGGGGGAGGCGTGCGGGGGAACGGAGAGGACAAGGACGCAAG